AAATCCATCTCATATACTGATCTATGGCGACTACGATGAATCCATCAGACGATCCATTCTCTCCTCTCTATTTGCATGCCAGCGACAATCCAGGTGCACTGATCGTTGCGGAGCTCTTTAATGGAGAAAACTACGTCTCCTGGTCACGCGCCGTCATGATGGCACTCAGTGTCAAGAACAAAATCGGCTTCATCGACGGTTCTCTGCCTCCGCCTTCGATGACTGGTAACACCGTTCTATATGTCTCTTGGCTGCGTGCGAACAACCTTGTGCTCTCCTGGTTATTAAACTCGATTTGCAAAGATATTAGACAATCTCTGTTGTTTTTCACTACTGCTCAAGATGTTTGGACTGAAATGAAAACGAGAGATGTTCTAAGCAGTGGACCTAGGGTTTTTCAACTAGAGAAGTCCTTAAGTACAATTGCTCAGGGTTCTCAAACCATCACTCATTATTATAATGCATTTAAAGCCTTATGGGATGAATATGTGACATACAGACTGATTTTTCAGTGTACTTGTGGTGCTTTCAATTCCTGTACATGTCATATTTTTGAATCTCTGGTTGCTTCTCAGCAACAAGACTCTGTCATGAAATTTCTTGTTGGATTAAATGATTCTTATTCATCCCTAAGGAGCCACTTCTTGTTGTCTACCCCTATGCCACCTCTGTCCAAAGTGTATTCCCTTCTCCTTCAAGAAGAAACACAGAGAACACTTCACAATAACCCTCAAACACTTGATCCTGTCGCCATGATAGCCAAAACCACTCCCTCTCAACCAAAATTTCAGAAACCTCCTTATAACAAAGACAAAAAGAAAGTCCGTTGTACACACTATGACTACAATGGACATACTGCTGACAAATGTTTTCAGTTGATTGGGTATCCAGCTAATTGAATTGGCCACAAGGGTCCAAGACCTAATGCATCTCATTCTGCCAACTTCACTCAAACTGAACCTGTGGCCTCACCTGCAACCTCTCAGAATACCAACATTACTGATGCTCTTTTTCATGAATTTATAGCTTTCAAAAAGGCACAGGAAATGAACAATGCAAATGGCTCTACTGGAGCTAATGCTGTTGTGGCTACTGCTTTCCCTGATGCTGCAGGTATATCTAAATCTATTTCATGTCTAGCATCTACATCTATCACTAAGAATACCTGGATTATTGACACTGGTGCAACAGACCATATGGTCTGTGACTTATCCTTTTTCTCCACCACACCAACTTCTATTTCAGTGAACATCAATTTACCAAATGGTCACCACACAACTGCATGTTTCAAAGGCAATGTTCAATTATCTGATCACCTAACACTACATGATGCCCTATATGTTCCCAGTTTCAATTTCAACCTCATTTCTGTCTCTAAATTAGTTTCTTCCACCAATTGTTTGGTTCAATTCATTTTTCAAAATGCCTTTTAAAGGACACAGCCACTCAAAAAATGATTGGTTCTGCTGACCTGACAGATGGGCTATATCATTTTTCTAACCATTCTGTTGCTCATTTCAATGTATCATCTACTTTACATGTAAACAATGAATCTGTTTGTTCTGCTGTTGTAAACAATTAGACTTGGCACCATAGATTGGGCCATCTTTCTTACTCTAAACTTCAAAAATTGCATATAGCTTCTAATTGTAAGGATATGTCTCTTGTACCTTGTGATATCTGTCATTTCTCTAAACAGAAAAAGTTATCTTTCCCTATTAGTACCTCCATTGCATCTGCACCTTTTGACTTGATCCACTGTGACTTATGGGGACCTTTTTCTGTTATCTCACATGAAGGGTATAAGTATTTCCTCACTATTGTTGATGATCACACTAGGGTTACTTGGATATATCCTCTATCTGTTAAATCTGAAACAAAACAGAGTATTTCTCATTTCTATAACATGATTTTTACTTAGTTCAATATAAAAATAAAAGTTCTTAGATCAGATAATGGCACTGAGTTCCTGCTTAATGATTTTTATTCTTCTCATGGCATTCTGCATCAAAAATCATGTGTTGAGACCCCTCAACAAAATGGTAGGGTGGAAAGAAAGCATCAACATTTACTTCAAGTTGATAGGGCTATTCTTTTTCATGCACATTTACCTTTGAAATTCTGGATTGATTGTGTTATGACAGCTGCTCATATTATTAATAGAATTCCTACCCCTGTTTTACAAAACAAGTCTCCTTTTGAAGTTTTAAACAAAAAGGTTCCATCTCTTGATCATCTAAGGGTCATTGGCTGTCTTGCATATGCATCTACTTTGATAAATAACAGATCCAAATTTGATCCAAGAGCTTCAAAATGCATCCTTCTTGGGTATCCAATAGGTTGTAAGGGATATAAACTCTACAATCTAGATACCAAGAAAACATTTATCTCCAGAAATGTGCATTTTTATGAAAGTGTGTTTCCTTTTCAAAATACCATTCAAAATGATAAACTCTTTCCACCTGCTCCTGATTTCTCCTACACATATTCACCACATACAAATTTCCAGACCAACACTTCTCCATCTCAAACTCCAGATACTACTCTCTTATCATTTAATACATCACCTGCTACAATGTATGTTCCTTCTTCTACAACTCATACAGACACAACTACCCAACTATCATCAGCACCATCCCTTACAAATCTTCAACACACATCTTCTCAAAATACATTCCCACCCAGAAGAAAATCATCCAGAGTTTCTAAACCTCCCTCTTACCTCAGCATTTATGATCATTCCATTCCAACCTCCTCTTCTAACACATCTTTCTGCACAACTGGGAAATCCCCTAAATATCCCATCTCATCTTACTTATCTACTAGTCAACTATCCACTGAACATTCTTGCTTTACTGCTGCCATTTCTGGAAATTTTGAACCAAAAACTTACACTCAAGCTGCTAAAAATCCTTTATGGCAAGCTGCAATGCAAAAAGAATTAGATGCTTTAAAAAAAACAAACACATGGATTTTAACTGATTTACCAAATGGTAAGCATTGCATAGGGTGTAAGTGGGTTTACAAAATCAAGTATAATTCAGATGGTAGTATAGAAAGGTACAAAGCTAGACTAGTAGCTAAGGGTTACACACAGGAAGAAGGAATTGACTATTTTGAAACTTTTTCTCCTGTAGCAAAAATTTCAACTGTCAGATTTTTAATTGCTTTGTCTTCCATTAAAAATTGGCACATCCATCAATTGGATGTCAACAATGCCTTTTTACATGGTGATTTAGAGGAGAAAGTTTATATGACTCCTCCTCCAGGTTACTGTTCTGATAACAAGGTGTGTAAATTGGTCAAAAGTCTTTATGGTTTGAAACAAGCATCTAGGCAATGGTTTCAAAAACTTACATCTTGTCTGATATCTTATGGTTTTAAACAATCTACTGCTGATTGCTCTCTATTTACTATGTTTAACTCTGATACCTCTTCTTTTATGGCTTTACTTGTTTATGTTGATGATGTCATCCTTGCTGGTAATAATCTGACAGATATTGAATTAATTAAAAATCATTTACATTCCTGTTTTACTATAAAAGATCTTGGCAAGTTGAAATACATTCTTGGTTTAGAATTTGCCCACTCTGATAAAGGCATAAACATGTGTCAAAGAAAATATGCCCTTGATATTCTCTCTGACACTGGTTTTTTAGCTTCTAAACCTGCTATTACTCCTATGTCTGCCACTCTGAAATTGTGTGCTGCCACTGACAATTATGAACTCACTGATGCTACTGAATATAGAAGGTTAATTGGTAGATTACTCCATTTGACTATCTCCAGACCTGATTTATGCTATAGTGTACAGTCTCTCAGTAAGTTTTTATCAAAACCTACAAAGGTTCATTTATCTGCAGCTCACAGAGTACTAAGGTACATCAAAGGTACAGTTGGTACATGTATATTCTTTCCCAGACAATCTTCTTTACAGTTAATAGCATATTGTGATAGTGATTGGGCAAGCTGCTTAGATACTAGAAAAAGTATCACATGTTACTCTATTTTTTTGGGTAATTCTCTCATTTCATGGAAGTCTAAAAAGCAAAGTACCATTAGTCGGTCTTCAGCAGAAGCTGAATACAGGGAAATAGCCACAACCTCATGTGAAATACAATGGCTGACTTACCTATTTGATGATTTTCATTTATCTCACTCTTCTCCAGTTCTTTATTTTCAGATAGCCAATTAGCCATTGCCCTGGCTAACAATCCTGTTTTTCACGAAAGAACCAAACACATACAAATCGATTGTCACTTAATCCGAGAGAAGATTGCTGAAGGACTTATCCATCTACAGCACATCAACACCAAGGAACAAGTGGCTGATCTATTTACAAAGCCTCTACCCCAGCTCCTGTTTTCCCATCTGCTTTCCAAGATTAACATGAATAACATCCATGTTAATCTTGCGGGGGGTATTAGTGTATATGTATAACTTGGGCTTTTATGTAAATGTGTATTGTTTGGGCCTTATTCTGTATTTTAGCATTGGGCTTTTTCTTATTCTATTGTTATTTGTTGTGGCATGTTTAACTGTAATTAGGTCAAGTATAAATAGGCCTTACTCTCCCCTTTGTAAACACTTTTCATTTTTCTGAAATAATATTTTTTCTTCTTTATCTCTCTACGCTCGTCTTCTCCAATTCTTCATCTCTCTCTCTTTCAATCGTTCAATTACAAAACTTATCAAAACTCGACCGTAGCATCTTCCTTAAATATATATATATATAATAATAATTTTATTACTTTTTACTTTTTAATTGCGTGAATGAGATTTGTAGAGGGAAAATGAATAGTATAATTTGAATCATTATTTGATAAATTTTAACTCAACGAAGGAAAATAAATAAAAAATTTCTACCATCAAATTGCAACATACCATCCCCAATTTTCTTCCCGCCGGATTATCCCAAGCACTGGCACACCACCGTCGTGTCTAAGCTTTATAGCAGCAGAAGAAAGCACCAGCAAAAACCAGAAGAAGAAAAAAAAAAAATGGAGTTCAGTCTGAGTGGAAATGCACTCAAAACCTTTGCTCGCTCCATCACCTGCCTCGCTCGCATCGGAAACGATCTCGTTTTTCAGTGCTCTCCCTCTCAGGTTCCTGCTCTTTGCTTCTTCTTCTTGTTGCTCAGTCAATTTTCTGTGATTTTTAGTGATATCTTCTCGTCGCCGTGTGGAATGACTTGCTGCAGATTTTTTATTCATTGGTAGTAATGTAATTAGGGTTTTGGGCTTCCCTGAACCAGAGGTTAGTGATTCATCTTTTCTCGTAGCAGAACTTAATGTCGAGGAATTGGGGCTTCTCCATTGCTATTTAGCATATTGTCTTTGGAATTTGAATGCCAGAGGTTGGTGATTCATCTTTCCTTGTAGCAGAACTTAATGTCGAGGATTTGGGGCTTCTCCATTGATATTTAGCATATTGTCTTTGGTATTTGAATTGGTTTTTAATCAAGAAAAGAACATTGTTGAGGATTTTTTTTTTAGGTTTAATTAGTATTTTTTTGGGTTCCTTACCGAATTCACTGTTTTGGGATGGCGGGAAATTACCTACAGTGAAGAAATTTTGTTATAGGATTCCAGATGCATGCCCACAATTGTCCTGTTTTTCTGGCGTTTGATAATAACGGGATCGAGTGGAATTTGTTGCGTAAATATTTTATGAAATTTAATCTGATCAATCTCATTGTATAAAGATTAAAGACATTGTCACATTCTTGGAGCTAAACAAGATAGTGGTTCTATCTAGTTCACTTGTGTTTATTCTTTTGATTCACAGTTCTCCCTTCACACCCTCAATTCGTCAAGGTCAGCCTATCAGTCCATAACTTTCAAACCAGATTTTTTTGATGTATATACAGTATCTGGGGCCGAGGTGCAATGTAGCGTGCTTTTGAAGGTTACCTTTTTTAGCAACTTTCTGCCATTTTGAGGATTTTCTTGTCTAGATAGAATAATACCATGCTAATGTTGCCTATGCAGGCCATCTGTTCGGTTCTGAGAACCCCAATTGCTAGTATTGATCATTTAAGCGGATCAGTTCCTGATTCTGATGCATCAAAGTTGCAGTGGACTTTAGACTGTTTCAATGGTTTGAAATCCTTATGTCTCTTCTTGTTCTTTCCTCTACTGCTGGTAATTGGATTATTATCGTTTATAAAAGTAAGCTTATGAATTTTGTTGGAATTGTTCAATGTCGATGGTAGATGTTAGAGCCTCAGAGGACTTGTTTCTACTGAGATGGATGCAAATTCGTGAAGGATACAAGTCTGTTATTCGCTAGTGGAAGGATTCGTTGGACATCTATAAATTGACATTTAACAGATTGCAAATTTATTAATTGGCTTATGCAGAGGCGTAAAAAGATTGTCAGATCTTAGTATTAAATTTATTAAGCCTCACGTGTAGTTTTCCTGATTATCCCTTAAAAGAAAGATAAACTGAAACATCTAATGTACTGGAAAACACAGTCTAGTTTCAGTGTCATACATCTCAGGCTTTCACCATTAGCACATGTATGTAGTTTGTCCTCCACTGGTAAGCTCTGGAATGTTACCTTTACTTGTATATGGTTCTCTTAATCTGACCCATGCTCTCATTTGTCATGCCTCTTAAAGCTTTGTTCTGTAATTACAGGAATGAAAAAATCTTACTGGATTACTTGCAACGTTGAACCTGATATACAACATCTATCACTTGACCGACGAAAGCTTCCCAGCAGCTTTGTAGTAAGGCCTCGTGATTTCAACAGATTACTTGCTAATTTTCAGTCGAGCCTTCAAGAGATCACTATCATTGCAACCCAGTCATCGGTTGTGCCACCTGATGCTGTTGATCAAATTGGGGGGAAAGCTGTTGAACTTAGAAGCTACATTGACCCAACCAAAGGTAATCTACTCAACGTTGATCTTTTTCCCCAACGGGATCAGTATCTGAGTTTAACCTTCAGTCTCTTAATTGCAGAAAATGATACATCTCTACACACCCAGCTGTGGATAGATCCTGCTGAAGAGTTTGTTCACTATTCTCACACCCGTGATCCTGTAGATATTACATTCGGGGTGAAGGAGCTTAAGGTGGGTTCAGATATCTACTAACATGCACCTTTTTTTGCTTGATATTTGTTAACTGAGCTGATTGTATATTCTAATACTGGCATAAACAGTCATACCTTTTGTGTCCTACCACCAATAAGTATGGAATTATATGTACTTTGCCCGTCGTGCTGTATTTTTTTGATAATTTGCAATTTTATTTTCTCAAATAGGGACCAGGGTGCCGTACTTATTCTATTTGATTCTGTTTTTTTCCAGGCATTTCTTTCATACTGTGAGGGCTGTGAAGTTGATGTACACTTGTATTTTGATAAAGCTGGAGAGTAAGTCATTTTCTTCACTGCTCAACTATGGCTATGTCTGTGTTCGTGCCAAGTTGTGTGTTTCAACTTTCAAAAATTACACTAACACTAGGAAGGCACGTAAATTGTAAAAATGAACTACAAAAGATGTGGCACTGCATATATTGCTTCTACATCTTTGTGTGAAACTCTACTCAAGTTGGACAGGTTTTGTGTATTTGCTTGCCCCCAACTTTGCAGAGAGTTCCTTGTCATTCACATTTACCGTCTTACATTTTATTTTATGGAGAATGAAAATCAATCTGTCTCGTTAACTAGGCCAATCCTGATGGCACCGAAATTTGGCATGGACAACGGCTCCTCTGGAAATTTTGATGCTACACTTGTGCTCGCTACCATGCTTGTGTCACAACTCAATGTTGGAAATTCTTCTGAACCTCAATTGGCAGCCACGGATGAGGCGCCAGCTCAGCACGGGACAAAAGGAAACTCTTCGGTGCATCCATCTGATCACACCAGAATTTGGTCCGAACTCTCAGGTTATATATATATATGGTAGAATGTTGACAGTTTAGAACATGCACGTGCTTCATGAGTCCATCTACATGCAGGGAGTGCTGCCAAAGATGGTAATGGTGTCGATAGGCAAGTGCCGGAGGAAAGACACCGTAATAACAACGAGCCAAGCACGGTTCAGCGGATTAGCGCTATGAATATTTCTAAAGATGTGAATGCCGATGTCATGCCTGATTGTCGAGAGTATCCTCCTGATTCCTTCTGGCTTCTAGTATCTTATTTCCACCTTAAGAATGGGCAAGCAAATGAAAGATTTAAAAACCTGCTCAAGTTATTACTCTGTTGGGGGCAAATTTTGGAGTGAAAACATGTGTGAGACTTGTGTCATGGGCTTAATGATGCAATTTTCTCCATGATCTACCAAGATTCTCGTGCCTAGTTCAAATGTTATTCACTTATACATTGTGGTTAACTTTTTCACATTTGATCTTTTACCTATTAAAATTTTATTGACCCTTGTGCAGCAGTTGCCTTCCCATGGAAACAGATAATGCTGCACAACCTCAAGGTTTGTTCAAATATATGCATGTTTTCCCTGGTGCATTCTCTTTGATTCTGGTTTACAATCTGTCAAACCGTAATTTTTTCATTTTTAAACTCAGATGCAGATGCAAGTGTACAGGCTGTCTCTCAACGCCATCCGAGCAACTGGGTAGATGCTGATGAGGATGATGATGAAGGTGATGAAGCAGATTTGTGCGTGCAGTCAACCCCTCCATACTCATAAAAATTCTTGGAGAGGAAGAGGGAGTTTTGAAATCCATCCTTGAATGGAGCAATGAGGGGGCTAATAGATGGTGTTGACTCTCGAGTGCTGTGTGTGTTAAATTTTGATTAATGTTTGTCCGACATCGGATATGTATCAAATATGTGTAGAATCTTTTTAGTATAAATAGGTCCATTGTTTTTGAGTTACCATTGTATCTTATTATCTTCTCTCATGTCTTAGAAGAAAATTCTTAATTAAGAAAATTTTAATTTTTGGGTTACTTAATCCGAGTTGTATTTTATTGGTGAGTTTAGCGAATATGGCGCTGGCTGGAGGTGCCCGAAGCATAGCCAATATTGGCCAAACTTTATTTTGTGTTCTTTTTCTTTCTCGTATTTTATTTATTTGTGTTAGTTTATTTTCGATAGTAGTAGTGCTCGTCATAATTTCTTGTACAGATATTTTTTTCTGATGCGCTTGGTATTAGAGTCGAAGATTCGTCTTAGGCTCGTTTGGTGAGGCGCACTGCATTGGATTTCGAGATGACCAAGGAGATCAAGGGCGCATCATTCTTTACACTCATTTCTGTAAGGATGGTGATGCCGAATGCTAGATTCTCTGTGGAGATCTTCGTTGGGACAACTCATTTTGGCATGTTTCGTGTTTGTCCAGGGAGCAGAAGTACGCGTTCAAGAATGATAACTTTTCTCACACCCTGTGGAAGTCTTTGAAGGACAAATTTCTAATGAAGACTCACTAAAATAAGCTTCTCCTGAAGAAGCGATTCTTTCGATTAAAGTACCGACATGGTGTTGGAGTATATTGTAGAAGCTTTGCTTTGTGATTACTCCCAATTCTATTTTGAATGAGATGTATGTCTTTAGTCTAGTTGATGTTTGTAGTTTATTTATTTATGTGAACATAGTTTCTTTATTTCACATAGTAGATAATGTGGTTCGATGTGTCAAACAAAAAGATCACATTATCGGTGCTTTGTAAAATATAAATATTTGCTCGCAGTCTAGACATAATTGAACTAACTGTCATGAAAAGGGTGTATTGTGATTTTGAGTTAGTTAATCTTTGACTAATGAATTACACTGATACATCTTGTATGTATTGAACAGACCTACAAGGGGATAAGATTATTTTGTACTGACTAAGTAAATAATCTAGACCTCAGTAATTGTTGTGTAACCCGTAAGACAATAAACTTGCATATGTATTCAACACTTATTTTATTTATCAAGGGTGATACCTATTTTGTTAGGTTGACATACTCGGTATTTTGGTAAGTAATGTTACCAAGGGTGATATCTATTTTGTTAGGTTTACAAGATGTGATGTTGCGATTGTTAACGATCACAGTGTCCCAGTCCGTCGGGTTGATGACGTCCCGATATGAGCTCAAGAAAGATTATTATGTCAAACCCAACCAGCGGATTAATTTTCGACATAATAAGTAAGAATTGAGTGATACTATTTTTTGTCCAAGAAACTGATTAATTATATTCTCAGTAATTAAATTAATTAACGAGCGTTATATCTTAAAAATGGGAAGATAAATCGAGCAATTAGTTTGGAGACGAATTAATTGTAATTCAAAGCTGAATTGGGAGATCAATAATATTACTCTAGTGAAATGTTTATTATTTATTCAAATAACGAATAGAAATTAAATGGTCTTCTAGTATATTAACCTTTAGAAGGATTTAATGTCTTCTAGAATGTTACCAAGTTGGAAGACATAAATGTCTCCTTGAAGATTAACTAAGTTGAAATGCATTAGTACTTCTAGAAGGTTAATGAGTTGAAAGACATAAGGTTTCCTAATCCTATTTGGAGAAGTCCATATTTAGCACCTCTTTAAGGTCCGTATTGTAGGTTATAAATACCCCAAGTCCCCTAGCCTCCAATACATAATTTTACACGCATAGATCATATTATTCACGCCAAAATCGGATTTTCGCTCATCCATTATATGTGTAGAGAAAAATTTGTTCCCTTTGGAGAATTCGAATTAAACCGAGAGGTCTTAGAAGAAGAAAATCGAGAGGCTTTGGGACTTCCAATTAATCGCTCCACCAATATTGATTGAAGATGGTGTAAAGGTCATACAATAAATGATCCAGGGTTATGTATTCATATCCCGACGAATATATACACGTTCATCCCGTCTAATATATATAGCCCTGCAGCACCTCGAATGGCCACGAAAATTGGAGAGGACGACCACCGGAGGAAGTCCCATCAACTGACGTGCCCAGGAACACCAACTGCAGTTGTACGCGCCGATGTCGGTCCTACACGGAACCGGTGGTTTAGTTACTTAAAAAGATCCAAAAAAATCCTATAAATACACCCCTCTCCTCTCTCTCTCTCTCTCTCTCTCTCTCACCACCCCAAAATCAGTTTTTTCACAGTATTTGCAACATTTTCATTTCTAATACAATCATTCTCACCTCGTTTTTTTTTATTAATAAAAGCTATTCTTCAAGTTATAAAATGTCGAGTGCTAGTGGTGGTGCGTCGATGATCGGCCACCAAAGCGTAAAAGTGTAGGCAAATCTTCTTCTAGTAGAATTCATTATCGACGCGAGACACATGGTATACCAGGACGCTCTGGTTCATCCCAATGACGTTGAGCCCCAGGAGATCCAACACATATATCATGCTATTGGGGAAACCAACGAGAGCTTACAATTCAAGGAGAACCATGAGCATCCGTGAAAACGATTTCCATCATACTCAAGGTGGAGGAGGTCAACAAATGTCGGATGGCCATCGGTGGGGGTCTAAAATTGAAATCCAACATATCCAAATGGCACTTCATGAAGGTGCCCAATGAAAAAAAAGTGACAAACGTTTTATATGTATTTGCAACTTTTGTCTTCTCTACACCAAGAAGAAGTACGTTTTCAAAACCGTCGATGGGTAGGAGCAATGAAATAACACATACAGACACATCATCTGGGCGAAGTGCGGATTTTCACGACTCAAACAAAATTACCGATCCCAAACGAGGGTAGCACTGCATCCATATGCATGTCTTCTACTTTATTTCAGTACTCATAAAAACCACAGAAAAAACTAGATGATTTGTTTTTTGTTTCGTCTCTTCCTTTTGGTTTTGCTAGTTCTAATTTATATGAAAATTTTGCTCAAATGGCTTTAAACCTGGCTGCGTCTCGAATTCCACGGACTACTCTCTCTCTCGTCATATTCGAGAAATTGTGGGTGAAAAAAAAAAGTAATTTTGGCGCAAACTTTTGAAACTTTAAACCGAAGAATTTATATTTGTTGTGACGTTTGGTCCGACAATTGGCAAGATAATATTTACATGGGAATTACAAGTCATTGGGTAGATGATTGTTTACATTACAAAAACGTTTTAATTGCTTATACAGGATTTCCTAATGCTCACACTGCTTCTAATATCGTTGGTTTGGTTTAGCATGTCTTGAATAGTTATAGAATTGATATATATATATATATATATATATATATATATATATATATATATTTTATAATGCTAGTGTTAATACTGCATCTACAATGGAGTTTAAAAGATTTTGTCGTTCCCTTTGTGAGGGAGAACTTTTACGTATTCAGTGTGTGTCATATCCTTAATATTATTGTTCAAGTTGGTTATCATGCTTTAAAAGAGTCGATCATACTCATTAAAAATTCCATTACTTACTTATATCGTCATCTGTAAGAAATGAAAAAATAGGGACATTTTTGTAAAGAAAAGGTATAACACCAAAATATTCCAACCGAATGTTGTACTCGTTGGAACTCAACATACAAAATGTTCATGAGAACGTTTGCACTATCGTATAAATTAGAGGATTTCTTTAGATTTCTCAACATAAGGATTGTGATGTCGTCGATGGTGTCACTGATTGGTTAAATTGTCAAACATTTTTTAAGATTCTAGAAACATTTCAAAGTGCTACTAACATACTTTCTGGTGTTTACTATCCTACTGCTCAACTTGTTTTAAGTCAACGTGTAGCTGTAATGTGGGGTTTTAGATGTTTTTAAGCTAGTGATCCTGACAGAATGGTGAACTTTTAAGAGGTATGTTAAGTAAATGGTTAAAATATTATTTTCTTCATTCCCATACATGTTAGTTGCATCTTTATTAGATTCATCATTACGTGAAAAGGGCTTGCTCAATCAACTTCAAACATATATATTTTGATATTATTTTGATGTTCTCATTGATGTCCTGGCTATTAGTGTAAGACTTAACACACGGCATCTCGTCAAGCAAGCAAATTTTTTATCGATGTTTAGAAAAACATCAATCAAACTTGAGAAAAATCCTGCACCATTTTCTTTTCATGCTTCCGGTTCTTCTTCTAATGGACAATGTGAAATGACGAAGCAAGATGTCGGAAACTTTGGTGAATGGTGGGATGATAATGCCTACATAATGCTCTTATCCAAGAGACAAAGGAGACTGAATAGAGTGAGCTTGATCACTACCTCATGACAAATTTGATACTTACTATAGCTCATGAACCAGTTGAGCCACCAAAATTCGACGCCTTAGATTGGTGGTCAAAGATGAGTACTATTTATCCTATTCCATATTTGATGGCCACAGATATTTTCGTTGTCCTCACCTCAACAGTGACAATTGGACATGCATTCAGTGATGGAGGATATACACTGGACGTACGACGATCGAGGTTGACGCCACAAAACCTGGAGGCTCAAATGTTGCTGAGTGACTGTAAGAAGACCGAGATGCGAACATAAATGGTCATGCTAACTGTCAAAGAAGATGAAGAAGAAGAGACGTCCAATTTTAGTAGTACTGTTAGTGCTAGTGGAATCGCCTGCAATGAAGAGGACTACGAGATCTATGACTACAAGTATTAGACCGTCGCATCCTACCATCTACTTTCATCAAGGTACGTAAAGTAAGATAATTATGAGGACTTTGATTTCTATGGTAAGGGATACGACTTAATTGGCATATTGTAAATTAAAATGTTATATTTTAA